CGTTACAAATACTTGTACTTTTTCCCTAAAAAAGTAACGAAAGTACAAGTAAAAGTACTAAATTTAAAAAGTAACGAAGTACAAGTAAAAGTACGTACTTTTTACTTGTACCGGCGGTACAAGTAACGAAAGTAAAAGTACTGCCATATATGGACGTAAGAGTTGCAAAATTTATGAGCTTATAGCTGTTATGAACTTATAGCCGTTAAACTATTAAAAGTCAGTTTTTCAAAACTTGGTTCTATTTCAGCAGATAGGGTAATGAAAGTCAACTTTGGCAAAATAGCGTTTTTTAACATATTACTGCTTGCTTTATTTAGAAAAACTGGGCATCTAGGGCGCGCAGCGGCCCCTATCCCATGCATCATGAAATTAAGTACATTGAGGTAAAAATATTTTCAATTTAGCAAGATTGGACTTTTTTTATATTAACTTTTTATTAACTTTTATTATTTACTACCATATTTACTACCATTAATAATTTTATTATTTACTACCATATATACTACCATTAATAACTTTATTATTTACTACCATATTTACTACCATTAATAATTTTATTATTTTTATCATTATTCACTACCATTAAATTTTCAGCCCTCCCTCAGATGGCCCCATGGAAAATTGTTGTAATCGTCATTTCAGTCATTATTTTATTGATTTTCTTAGTTATAGCAACACTTCTAATCAAGAAGCCGTAAGTATATCAGGAAACTTGATCTATTTGTGCAAAATACAATCAATCTGATCAATGTTTAACTATTGTCTGTAAATCGAATTGTATTATCTGTAAATCGAGTGTTTTATCTATTTATACATAATAATTATTTTACTGATCACCTGAGTGTAAGTATTAAATATCAAGACATTACACTCATTGAATTCAGAAAAAATGAACAGTTAAAATTATTTTAATGTAGTAAAAGCTTGATAAGACGAGTATCACATACTTCCGCAAAATAGAGAAATTTCCAAGTCTCCGTTATAATACTAACATTAAAGATATAAAAATCGGTTGCGTATAACGAGTTAAATTATGAACCTATTATGCCAAAATTGTTTTTAGGAAAATGCATATGTTGGCTGTTTTACATGGTTTTTCGGAAAAGTTTCGCCAAGGAGAATAAAAGAGCCACAGTTTAAGTGTCTTACTCTTGAAGCAAAGCTATAATTTTAAAGAATGCCATCTTGTGTGAAGAATTATCTGGTGGATGGCTGGTCGACACGAATTTCGCACACGGCTCGCACCGACCACAGTGCTGACGTAAAAATTCTCACTTGTAAACAGATTATAAGTTAGAGCCTCCATGCCGCAAGGCTTTCCGTTAGTGGGTTTCGTCATTTTTTCTTAATGGGACGCAAATGCGGGCTAGTTCCATCAAAAAGAAACCATGTGAAAGTCCAGCAAATTTCTCCCACTATCTGATCCAGAAGTTCCTTTGTCTTCAGGATTAGATTCAAAATTACAAGGCTACGGAGTTGAACATTAGTTACAGTAAAGTTAAAAATTAGACCGGACGTTCGACAACGATTATAAATAAGTAAATAAATAAAAGAAAGAAAACGGCAGACAAGAAAGAAACGGCATATATATATATATATATATATATATATATATATCCTAGCTAAATATTACCAACAAACCGTAATAGTTGGCGCCTCCTTCAAAAGAGGAATAAGTAGAAAGCTTTTAAAATATGAAGTAAGTTCGCATTAAAAAAGAATTTTTACATTCTAAAAACAAAAATTTAGTCTTCTTAATTATCAGAAAATTTTAAGAATATTTCATTTTTGTCTAACTGAAATAAAATTGGAAAATTGATATTTANATATATATATGTCTACAAACCTATATGTTCTTTATAATTTTGTACATTCCTACGAAAAAGTTAATTTATAAATAAGTAAACTAAACGAAAAATATCATTTTGGAAACCAACTAAAGCTTTCGAAACAAAATTAATTTCAGATTTGAAAACTCCACACTAGAATTTAGTGAAATCAAATACTTCTATACATACTCCAAAAAATTTATTTTCCTGTAATGTATTTAGTATTATTTAGTACTGTTTTAGTATTATAATGATATTTAATATTATAATGTTATTTAGTATTATAATGATTATACCAGCAGTTATAATGATATTATTGATATTATTGATATAATGATATTATTTTATTGCAGAGATTGGGTAGAAAACTTCTTCCAAAGGAATTAACCATAAGTTCTATCAAGTATAAGGATTCGTTGTACCTCCTATGATGTCTCACTTTATATTGGTGTTTAGATCCATGACTGTTGTTGTTATCGAAGAAATAAAACAATTTTGGTTGCATTATAAAAATCAAATTCGAAATCTTCTTGCCATGCAAAGACATGTCATCTGGCTTACGAAGTCTACTTCTTTAGATCTTTGGAAGACAAAGTTCTCTCTTACGCTGTTCAGACTTACACAAAATGTAATGTTTTGTTTAGAATGTCAGAGAAATATCCTGCTATAAAGTTCCAGCACGTAATGGATACTTTAGATCTCCGGCTACTCTTGATTCAGGGTAATTTGATCCAATACAATCATTAAATAATGTAAAACAATCCAATAATAAAAAAGCAGCTTGATTTATAATACAGAGCGAGTCTTAATGATTTACCCAGTTTAAACAGACTTCATTTATGGAAGATAAGATATATACACTCTAAGAATGTTCACTCTGCACACGTCCCTACAGTAAACCATGTGTTCGATAAAATGTTTATACCAATGCCAGTCATTACAGCAGAGATGACCACCACTACATATAAATAATTACAATAAATATATAAAAGTATAATAATCCTTGCGCAAGCGAATTTCAACGGGATCAAAATATAAATATATTTTTCAGTCAAATTGTTTTTTGTTAATTGTATTACAACCACTCTGAAAATCCATTCTCGGAAAGAGTGAAAGTTGGCAGGTATGCAGATATTTCCTCAACAGCTACTTCAGTTTACTACTCTTAACTTATGGATACTTCTGAGGAGAGGAAATGACTATTACGATGATCCTCGATTCGGGAGTATACCATTCACAAGATTACCCTAGTTGTTCTTTAAGCCGCCAATTTCCTAATGCCTAACGCCAAAAGTCTTAGTTGCCCAAGGGCTTATTCGTCAGACGAAAAAGGCAGATGCCCGCTCCGCCGGCAGGAACTTCGCAGAAATCTTTATCAAGTCAAGTCAAGCCAAGGATAAAGTAGATATTGTTGAATAGTTTTAAAAATAATAAGTTAACTCCTCCCGAAAACCCAGTTATAACTGAAATGGTTTTGCTAACAGCCTTTCCTCTTTTCCGTCCTGCTTTTACCCCTGGTTGCGATGTGTTCTTGCTGTATTGTTTGCATCAGGGTTAAATAAATTTGTACGATTGTGAAGGGGGAAGTTTATGTATCCTCAATACTAGGATTGGGCGATATTAGAAATTATATATCGTGATATATCGTCAGTTTTGCATCGCGATATAGCGATGTATCGCTTAAATTTTCAAAAAAGATTCATTTACTTTAAGGCACAGAAAGTCAGATTTCTATCAAGACTTCATACGCATATTGATTTAAATCAATTTATAAATTTGAAAATATATATGTTTTGCTAAAGAAAGATATTAAATAAATTGACTAAGATGTACAAATCTTACTTAAAATATTTATTGAAAAAATGTGTGTAGATACAGAATGAAATATTTGCACTTCTTTATCGTTTATAAGGTATAAGCAGTCTTAATTTAAGTTAACCCCTAAAACACCCTTAATGAAAAAAA